GGTGGGATGTTACTCTGTGATTAGGTTACATACAGTCGTGACTTCCGTCTTGCTGGCAGACTCTGTTCCCTTTTTGACTTGCACTCATTGATGAAGCAAGCTGCCATATTGGAGGGGTCCACATGGCAAGGAACCAAGGGTAACCTCTTACTAACAACTAGCTAGAAACTGAGACCCTCAGTTCAACAGGCCTCAAGGAACTAAATTCTGTCAACAAAAATGTGAGCATGGAGGCAGATTCTTCCCCAGTCAAGCCTTCAATTAGATCCAGCCCTGGCAGACACATTGATTGCAACTTGGGAGAGACAGCGGAGCAGAAGACCCAGCTAAGCTGTGCCTGGATTCCTGGCCCACAAAAACTGTGAGAGAAGAAATGTGTGTTGTTGTAAGTAATTTGGTATGCAACAATAGATAAAGCACATTTTCAGTCTTAATCCTCTTTGATATTTATTTTCCTTCACAATTTGACTTCTTGGGCCAATCTCATCCCTGCAAATGTCTCCAGCTGTCAACTAGACTTAGTGACTTGGGATATTGGATAGATGATTCCATTGCTCACTGAGTTAAAGAACACAGGGGATGGGGTGAAGTTTGAGGAGGAGCTTGACACAAGTTGGATTTAAGGAGCCTAGAGGATGTCCAAATGGGGATGTCCTTTCGGCAGATAATATACAAGCCTAGAGCTCAAGAAGGGATCTGGGCTGGAGATACATACGTGAGCACCACCAGGATAGAGTTGTGACCTGAAGCCTTTAAGAGGAGGCTCTGGAAGTCCTGGCACACTCCCCTCCAGATGACGTGCCGTACAGCAGAGGCAGAGGTATCACCTCAGTGGTGAGAATCACCTCAGTGGTGATTCCCAAACCTGTGTCTCCAGGCCAGATCCCTCTCCTGAGATCAGAACTAATTAGTTTGATCTAATGGCCATTTGGAGAGTTCCATATGGATATTGTGCAGGCACCCCAAATTCAGATTGTTCAAGTCTGCCCCTTTTTCCGAGTTCCCTGACTTGGTATTTTTCACTTCTCTTTATCTAGTTGCCCAACCCTGTGAGTCATCTCCCTCATACCCACAAATCCAGTCAATCAGCAAGTTAGGCATTACAACCTTCTACTTCCCTTTTTATGTCAAAGAAGATATCTCTTAAATTTTGGTTCTACATTTTGAGAGTGTGATGAAAAGGTAAAGCAGCTGTCATTCTGGGAGTTTTTCTATGCTTGTTTATTTTCCATTAAAATATAACAAAGAGTTGAGATGGTGAATATAATTTGGCTCAAAATTATCAGGTATCAATCATAAATTTGAACTGTTCTGCATAATCCATGTTTTTACCTATTAAACTTATCTCCCTAAGAAAATTGGAGCAGTTGAATCAATAGTGGTTAGATACTCCTCCTGCTTTTCTAGAGGGGTTTTAGGAAGAAATAGGTCACTAACATAAAGCCTGCTCCCCCCTTGGTAGTGAGGGGCCAGTGCCAGCTGTTTTTGCTCAGATGTAAGGGGGGCACTCGAGAAAGATCTGAGTCTGCTCCTTTGGTTGGTATTATGTCTGCTCCATAAGGTTGGGGTCCTAAGAACCAACTTTGCCCATCTGGCTCTTTCAAGATGGAAAAGATGTGGACTCCCATAGCTATCCCATGGTCTAGAAGGATCCATTAACACTGCCTGTGCTGTAAGGCACATCATCTGGAGGGGAGTGTGCCGGGACTTCCAGAGGCTCCTCTTAAAGGTTTCAAGTCACAACTCTTTCCTAATGGTGCTCACGTCTGTATCTCCAGCCCAGATCCCTTCTTGAGCTCTAAGCTTGTATATTATCTGCCAAAAGGACACCCCCATTTGGACATCTTGTAGGTTCCTTAAATCTAACTTGTGTCAAGCTTCTCTTGAAACTCCACCAGGTCCCCTGTGTTCTTTACCTCAGTGGGCAATGGAATTATCTATCCAATATCCCAAGTCATAAAAGACGTGTAATGCTTAGCATCTCTTTCTCTTTCACTCTCACATTCAATAAATGACCACGTTCTGGTGATTCAGCTGTTTGAATCTCTCCAAAGCAAACCTTTCTCTTTCTCCTCACTGCTACTACCTTTGTTCAGGCCATTACCCTGTCACACACGGAAGCATCCTCCAAACAGGTCTCCGTCTCTCTGGACTGGCCTCCACCAAACCATTCTCCATGTTGCTACCACAGGGATCTTTTCAGAACACAAGTCTGGATATTTTTCTTTCTTGCTTAAAAACCTTCAATGACTCCTCATTTGCCACAGGAAAAATGTCAAGTTCAAGCCCTGTGCAGACCTCGTGGGATCTGGTCCCTGAATACTTCTCTTGATTCCTCTCTCTCAGCTTCACTCTCATACTCTATGTCCCAGCCGTATGGAAGCACTTTTATTTTCTCCCATGTGCCATGCTTCCTTTTCATATTCAGGTCTTCGCTCATGCAGTTTCCTGTGCTCAAAACACTTTCTGCAACCCCTCCTCTCTTCCCTTTGCTTGACTAATTCATGGTCTTAGTTCTGAGTTACATTCTCTGAAAACCTTTTCTAATACCCCTCTCTCCCATCCCATCCCTCATAATGCTCCCATAGCGTCTGTGTTGCACAATTGGAAGCATTTGCCACTTTATATTTAATTATCTGTTTACATGTCATTCTCCCACTCTATACTATAATCTCCTTAAATGGCAGGGGAGGTTTGTTGTTCACTCTTGAATTCTCACTGTGTTTGATACGAGGTAGGCACTCAATAAACATTTTTGGGTGGCAAGTTGCTATCTGGATGTTCAGCTCTATATCCGTGATAAACAGGCTTTAGTCATGGTCACCCACTTTAGTAGTGGATCCACACTGTTGCCCACTCTATCACGCACTACCATCATGTGAACAAATCTCTCAGGAATGACATAAGATTATGGCACATACCGATTTCCATCCAGCTTTTGATTCTGTTCTCAATAATCAGTTTTGGGCAAAGCTGAGTGCAAGATAGAGCCCAGTTTGACAGACCTTGAATCAAAATGTTATTTTAAGAGTCAGGGACAGGATAGTCTTTTGATAGACCAGAGAAATATGTCCTCAGGGATAAAACTTAGCTGTCGTTGATCCTCTTCTTTTTAGTTTGTTTCTAATTACTCCCGGTCTGACAATCTCTTCATATCCCCACTCTCTATAGAACCAGAAGGGTAAGATTCTCTTATGTAAAAAGAATGACAAGAACTACTTACGTAATCATTGCCAGACAGTAGGTCTCCACATTAACTATTCTAAAACCACAGACATCATTTTTGGGGGGCCAGGCTTTAATATTTAACCAGATTCTAAGCAATACTTCTCTTGGATCAACTCATCCAAATGATACACAGGAAAGTGAGATATTCTGAGGTGCATTACTTAGATTTATCTTTTTGGTTATTTACAACAGTGAGATGGGCATTTAATACTCACTTTAAAATTTACCCAGCACTTGTGGGACTCCACTCTTTGCTCATCTGTTGATGGAGTGGTACCCTTTTTTTTTTTTACTTTGTTTTTTTTTTGCTGAGAAAGATTAGCCCTGAGCTAACATCTGTGTCAACCTTCCTCCACTTTATATGTGGGTCACCACCATAGCATGGCTGAGGAATGGTGTAGGTCTGCACCCAAGATCTGAACCTGCGAACCTGGGTCACTGAAGTGGAGCATGCTGAACTCAACTCCTAGGCCATGAGGCCAGCCCCCATTCTTTTTGCTTTCCTTTCAGACAATTCTTAGCACTGTCCATGGGTACTCACTCATCCTAGAGCTTGAGGGAAAGTGGGCTGCTGTTCCATTCAGGATCCTGAGGGGAATGACCAGCACTCCCTGTGGCCCGGCTGACCACCGAGATCAAGGCCACCAGGAGAGCACACCAGGAGTGCTCCTCAAATTTGGACCCTTGTCACTGCTGCATCAGACTTACCAAAGGCTGGGTCAGAAAGATTACAGCTGTGGAGGATTGCCTAAGGGTAAATGGCCCATCCCTCCTGCAGAGGACCTGCTTTCAAAATTTTAAAAGTTGCAGAATTACTCCCCACTTCTTCTTTTATTTATTTTTTAATAAAGAAATATCATGAGCAAGTCCAGTACGTATAAGAGATAAAAGTGGAGCTTCCCTGGTTGAAGTCAGGATAATGGATAGGAGGGCGGGAGGGGACGGAGTCCATCCTCCAACTCCCTTTGCTCTGTGAAGAGGCCAGAGTAGAGCTGCTTTCCAGAATCGTACCTTGGGATTCCACAGAAGAAACAGCTCTTACTGCGGCATATTTCTAAGGACACTGCTCTCCTCTCATATAGCATACTTTCTAGAAAGATCCATAGAAGAAATTTCTCACAGTTCTCACTTCCAGGAATCTTTGTGTTTCTTTTGTTTAAATATTTGATTTATTTTTTATCTTATGGAGGCCACAACTTATGCCCCTCTTGCCTCAGCACCTAGGAAGCACAGAGCTGATTCTGCAGGCTCTCACCAGCAGTTTCTCAGGACCTCGTTGCAAACATTTTATGAATTGTAGACATTAGGTCAGGAAGCCAGGTATCATGTCTACCTTATTTTCCTTTTACTCTGATTTGCACTTTATTTTTATTGAATCTCCTCTCTTACACATGTGGGTATGTTACCTCAAATTATTTCTGGAATAAAACAGGATAAAAGTAAGCACATGGATGTATCATTATATTAAAAAAATGACCTAACAGCTTTCAGCAGCCACCGTATGACTGCGCTTACCTCGTTGGGGTGGAATCCATCCACGGGTTCAATAAGCTGCCAGGGCTGCCCGCCTCTCTTCTGCCACTCCTTGATGACTGCAGGGCACACACACAACCACAGGGTTAGAGACATGCTTCCACAAGCACCGTTCACTGTCCAAGAGCAAGGACCGTGTGAAAAATGCTGTCAGGGCTGCCCACTGCCCTCTTGGGCTGACGCTTACCCAGACACCGCTGCCTCTGAGCTGTGACCTCGGGCTGGGGGCTTCATGAGTGGAAGTGATATTCCCGTTGTGCGATTTTTTTTTTTTTTTCTCACTCAGGACGAAAATATGTGAGAGTGTTGGATGAATGCGGTTTGTGTAGCAAGGAGGATGGTAGGAAAGGTGAGCTCTAAAATATTCAACACTGAGTTAAGTCCATCTCACTTCTCAGTGGCCAGTAGGACAGTATGGCAGGAGCAGTGGGAAAATTAAACATTTGTTAACATCTCCTTTCATGGGTTGCCATTTCCAGACACTGCCTGCATATGTCAAGCAATCACCATTAAAAATCATACAGTTTGCGAGAAATGTAATTACGTAAAATTATCACAACATCACATTTAGAGTGAGCATGGCTTCAGAGAAAATATTATGAGCCCCAAAGTGAGGAAAAGCAATAAAACCGTCCTTCACCAGGGGGAAGAGACCAAGAATGTCAGTGGCTCCAAGGCAACAGCACAATTTAACTCTACATTGTAATATCATATAGTCAAGAAGAACCCCTCAAGGAAATTTCAGATCCCTAGACAGCCTCCAGAGGGAAAAGTCTGAAACCTGCTGCTCCCAGTGTAGCCCACGCCTTCACTTTTTGGTGTCCAGAGAAGGGTGCAGGCACAGCTAAGATTCTCACATCTTCACCCCACAAAAAACTCAAGGGCAGGATTCTGTGCCCTCTTTGCCTTCCCCCCTCTCGCCCCAAGGGAAGAAATAGAAATTCTATTGTGGGCTTTGATTGCACAAGAGAAGCTGGTTTTCCCAGAGCTGAATCAATAATATGCTGCTTTTGTAATTAGTCCTAATATCACAGCATGCCATCCCCACTTGCTACCCGATCCCTGTCCCCAGAGGGGCTGCTGCCCTTCTTGGAGCTCAGGAAAAAATTCCCGCGGGTGGTTTGGAGTCCTACACACAGGATCACCAATTCCTGTTGGCTTCTCTCTGGCAGAATGGCCACCATTGAGCCACTCTTTTATATTTTGTGTCTGGGTTTTATTGGAGTATTTTAGAAGAAGTAGCTCCTGGATCGTGGCCTTTGCATTTCTCGTGAAACTCAAACTGAGGACATTGCCCACTGTGTCCTCCACACGGAGGCCTAAGGGAGAAATTGCTGCTGGTAAATGATGTATCCCTCTGAAGGAATGGAGTGTATCTGCTTTTCTGATAGGAAGCTCACAGCTGCAAAGATGCTTAAACCATGCTAACTCTTAAGAAGGCTTATTTGTGATGCTGAACCAGCTTGCAGACTTCAGCAGTTTCTTTTCTGCCCTTGGCCACAGGTACCCTGTAACAGGCAGAACCTCGGGGAAGCTTGCCTGGCTCATCTTCAGTTTGCCTGGGTGTTGTGACTGTTTTTTCAGGCATGACCTTGGAATCAGATTATCTGCTTCAGGTTCAATTCTGGCTGCTCCGCCTTTCCCTCTGGACCTGACACTTTGAAGCTCCTGTGGGTCCCAGACTGCCCTTCTTGGGTGTGTGATGCTGTTCCAGCCCATCCCTGCTAGTCCTGGGTCAGCTGCTGTGCATTCACCCATGTTTGGTTCAGGCTCCTCATTCTCCTCCTTGCCAGGGAGAGGATGGGCCAGTTCTCCACTCTTTTTTTGGAGGTCCTGCTTTTCTACTTTCTAACCTTATGCTGATTCTCTATCTGAGTCCCCTCCAATCCGAACATCCAAGTTACCGTTAATGGAGCACCAGGCATTTGGAAGGGTTTCTTTAATGCAGAGCCAACATCACCCCCACTGAGGCCCCTCAATGCTCTGTGTTCTTTTGTAGTGTTTGCCTCATCTCTACCTTGCAGTCCCACAGGCTCTCTGGCACAAAAAACAACCATGATGGGAAGAGGTCCAGCACAGGTAAGACATCAGCCTCCCAGTCCCCTCCGTGACTTCAGAGGCGACATAACTTCCATTCTACTTATGTTCCTTTGCTTCACTGAAGTTTTCAATGAACTTTTCGTCCCTTCTCTTGCTTCTCCTTTTATTTTTAGTTTCGTTTCACCTTATGCTATACAAATGTTAAAAAGAGAAAAGAAAGAATGAAAGAAACTCTCTATTGGATGTTAAGAAATTCCCAGGCAGTGCTAAAAAGACTTTTGGGAATTGAGCCCAGTCAAGACCTCAGGCAGAGCCTGCTGAAAGTCAGAAAGAGCTGGAAGAATAAGACACAAGGATTGTATTAAAGAGATATGCAGTAAGCCATGGACCTGACGCAGACCACCCACACCCCCTCTGACCCAGCAGGGGTAGGAAGCTCTTACACCTTCACTCTACACTTTGGCAGAGAAGGTTGAGTGACAAACCAAATCTAAACCTGTGTCTTCACTGGCCAAGAGAAAATTCAGGAAAGAATTATAACGACCTAGAGATCTGGAAAATTGACAGTGGAAAGCAAGTTTGAGCCTATTAAGGAAACACAGCTTAAGCCAAGATCGTGTTTCTTGCGAGAGTGTTTACTAGGAGCCCGATATTGAAAAGGTCAGACTTGCTTATACCTGAGTTTCCTGTATTGTGATTCAATTTTGGCACCTAAGCTTAATGTTAGTCTAGGCTATTTCCATTTTGATTTGAATTTATGTGCATTACTAACTACCAAACTAAAAACTATGGATCTTAGAGAGAGGGAGAGGTGGTGATAGAAATGATACTCCATGGAACAGATGGACATAATTCAGTCATTGGCATGTTTTTCAAAGTGAGAGGGTATGATCACTCTCTTCTACTCCCCCTGGTGTCTTGACCAATCTCGTCATCTGGGGGTTACGAAAAGAAAACTGAGGAACAAAAGCATAAAGAAAAGAGAAGGGATATTTACTCATCACATTTTGCAAGGGATCAGGGGCATACCCTAGGGTGGGGCAGTGGTTGAGGCCCACGTTTTATTATCACTGGACTCCAGCAATTCTAAATGATGGCAGTGATGACGTAGTCCTCCCTGCCAGGAAACAAGTTCCTGCCCCACAACCCCCATCCCTCTCTCAATTGATGGGACACTACAAGGGAGTCCAGACTTCAGAAGAACTGACTTGTCACACAGAATAATCCCATAGGTATCAAAAGAAATAACCAAGGCTACAATCAATCTATTCACACTGGAAAACAAGATTTTCTCACATGATTGTGTCTGCGAGGGTTCCTAGTCATTGCATATCTGCAGACATCAGTATTATAATACTTAAAGGGAGAGTCAGTAACTCACAGGCAGGAGTTGAAAGTTTTACCAAATTGCGACTAGTGCTAGATGGAGTGACCCTTTTTAGTTTGTTTATCTCAGGGTGAAATTTTGCTTTCTTAGAATAAATGCAATAGCGGACAGTGGTCTCTATTGCTTCCCTGGCTCATTTTAGAGTGGAGCGTTCAAGCAGGGGTAGCATGGTAAGTTGGCCAGTTTCCTTCCTACCTGGGACCATAATTCAAAACAGGAAATGAATTCTTATTTGTTCCTCAGAAGACCTGAATTAAACTTCTTGAATGATCATGAACGATCTCTTGGTGTATACTGTATTTCCTTTATCTGTAAAGTCAAAGAAACTCTGCTGACGACCAGCTTTTCAGAGATGCAATAGAAACCATGGAAGAAGGTTCATAGAACACTTGGTAGCTCCTTGATGAACAGCAACACTAGCAGGTATTGAAAAAGCGAAATCTGCATTCTGGCCAGCACCATGAAGTCACTGGTTATTTTTACAAACATGTACATGGCGGGGGAGCTAAGAACCGGGTTTGCTCCGATTGAGTTGTCTTGGAAGTGGAGGGCAGCTGGTGGTGTATTTAAACTATCAGTGTGAAAATGGCCCTGTCAGCCAAGTGGCATTTTCCTTCCTCTGTTTGGGAGATGCGGTACAGACGAAGAAAAAAGACATCACCTGCTTGAGCTGGCATTTTCTGAAGGGAGGAAAAATTGCTGCTTCTGTCTAGTTCATAACCAGTTGGAGGATGAGTCAGCAAGAGACAAAAAAGAGTCTTTGGAGATGAGCAATCAGCTTTCAGGGCTCGGCTGAGGCTGTCAGACTGGAGAACAGAGAGGTCTCGTGCTTACCCTCAAGGGACAGGGACCCTCAACTGCCATTTGCTCTGTCACAGGGGGTAAAATTGTAAATCTCATATGAAAAATGAAGATATTTGTGAGGCAATAGTCAGCTCCAATATAGCACTGAAATAAAAGGAGAGGTTTTTATGTGACTATTAAGACTGCAGGTGTAATAGTTGACCCATAGGGTTTTATTTCTGATAGAAGGAAACTGCCCTGATAATGAGATATATTTCCATCAGAGCTTCCTCTAAGGAACTCAAAGTGATCCACAGGCATGATTGGCAATAGGAGGTGGTTTGGACATTGAAAGAGAATAAACATTTATTATCCATTTATCATAAACCCTGGAAGAATGTAGAAGATGTTTTACATACATTGATTTCAGATGGTAGTGGTGGGAAGTTGAGTCCTTACTACATTACAAGCATTGTCTCAATCCTTACATAAACCCTATGGTTTAGTTCTTGCTACATTGCACAAAAGCTGAGTGGTTATTTAATTTACTTGAGGTTACACCACTATTCTGCGTTTGAATTGGGATAGGAACATAGTTCTATCTAAGAGCTCATTGCACCTACATGACGTAGATCAGATTTCAGGATGATGAGCTGCCCAGGTGTGGAAGGTTATCCATCGGGATGGAACTGGGAGTGGATGATCCGCCTACTCTGGCAAATCCTAGAATTTCAAGATAGAAATTTCCTTCATGGCTAACTTTGGGCATAAGTTAAGCCATTACCATAGTTCTTGAAAACTAGATAAAAATTCCAGCTCTTTCAGAAGTGTACACAGTGGCACCTAGACGTTAAATGCATGACACTGCATCAGATGTTCATGGAGGCAGATCCCAGGTACCATTTCCTCTGCCTTCACTCTCCCTCCCACTGTGCCCATAAGTCTTCCCTAGTGGGTACCCACTAACTTCATAAGGAGAAGGCGAAGAGGACCCTGTACCAAAACTGGATCTTCACATGCATTTTTAATAAATGTCAAGAAATTACAAAACCTCAGGAAATCCCTCAAACTGTTGATGAGAATTGCCAAGCAAGGAGAAATACTCAGGTGGTTTCTTAGTCAGGTAACTGACTGCCATGTTGATGTAGAAGGTCCAGTTCAGTTTAACCAAACTTTTTTTGCTTTTTACTGCATTTATTCCATGCATGCTTCTCTCTATATCCTTTATGAAGACAAGGACTGTTCTGTTTTGTTGGCAACTATATTCTCAGGATCCACACAGCACACAGTAGAACCAAGTAAAAATCTGATAACTAAGTTCTTACTCTTGGAAAATTATAGAGCCCCATTTATTAAATTTGAAGGTGCATATGGATCATCTGTGAATTATGTTAGAATGCTGATTCTGATCAGGTAGGTCCTAATTAGGAGTGGGGCCTGGGGTTCTGCGTTTATAACTAGCCTCCAGGTGGTGTGGATGCTGTTCATCCTGAACCGTGCATTGAGTAGCAAGGATGCGAGGGAATGGTACTCTTTTCTGGGTACCGGCTATGTACCAGGCACGGCATTTAGGAGGATTACACATTATTTCATATAATCATCATAAAGATTTGTTATGTAGATATGGTATCCCCATTTCTAGGTCTGGAAAGGAGAGTTTAGACACGTCCAGGGAATTGCCTACAGTCCCAAAGATAATAAATAACAGAGCTAAAGATTACTTTGGAAAATTAAAAAGGTCCCATGTGAATGTTAGACATTATTATATTTTTAATAACTTTATCTACATTCAAGGTTGATCATGATCAAAAATCACTTGGTGGTGCATTTGTTTATACGAGGAATTCATTAATGAATCTTTAACTCTGTATTTTAATGAGAGGTTATTTATCAAAATGTCTCTCCCCATGAGAGAAATATGTGTCACCTAGGCAGGAAATCTAGTTAGGGAGATGAGTCTTGTTGAAAAGATGTTCAGAATTGAAGTACTAGAGTCTGCAGTGCAAAACGTGTCAGCTAACGTAATATTTGATAATTCATGACGGCCATCTGCTTCATCCCAGATGCTTGGGCTGGGGGGTGCGGTGTTGGTGGTGGGGAGATAGAGATGATAAACTCTGGGTGAGAAATCTTCCATCCTTTGCATACATTGTGAAGCTTTTCATTAGCATCATCTCAGCTGGCAGTCAATCAACAGGAGGGTTTTCTCTTGTATAACAATTGCTTAGTAATGAAAATGAGACTGGAAAGATTAGAGTTAACAAATAATAATTTTTCAGAGTCAAGATGTAAAGGATAAATCAGTAGTCCAGTAATCACGCTTGTTTTCGTGTTGCCCCTCATCAGTGACCCCACTGTTTGGACAGAATGCGGGAAAAGAAACAGTAATGTTCTTTCCAGAAACCTGGGATATATGTTGTCCACTTTGCCACAGGCAAATCTGAGGTCCCTTACAAACTCTGATTAGTTTCATCATGTGGGGTCTGGGAATCTGCATTGTTACTGAGTCCCTAGGTAACTCAGTGCCCACTGAAAGGCACTATCTTACCCTGCATTCCTGCCACACTCGTCCTTACCCCATAGGTAAGCGGGGCATTATCAAACTGGCAGGAATAAGTTAGGGATTCCATTGACTTGTTGGCTCCCAGCCCAAAGCTGTTTCCAACTGGTCACTGATCCTATTGCTTCAGGGATTCTAAAATGAGGTTGAAATAAGGAGATGATGCTAAGCTTCCACCTTTCCAGAAAGAGTCTCACATTTTCTTTCTTTTTTTTTTTTAACACTCAGCGCTATTAATGTGTCAGAATGAGCAGGAGCAGCCCTGCCCAATCTACTGCCTGCTGACTTATAAATGCCTTGCCCAGGTGGGTTCCAAACCGTAGCTGCTGCTTTCGTCTTGTGTCAACATCTAAACCAAACAAAACTTACTTCCTTGGAAGTCAAAATCCATGTAGAAAAGGTTGAAGTTTGTAAATTTCTTCCTGGTTGCAATTTTTTTCAGTGTATTGGAGAGTTGTTCTGCTCTCTGAATACAAAGGAAGAGGGAGAATTCCATGAAGCCTAGACTTTGACTTTAGTGAGACAATTCAGGCAGAACAAAGACATCAATAGTCTCCACCCCCACTCCGAGCCATCAGCAGAGAGCAGCTCTGCACATTAAATTCTACTCATGCACAAATGGCCAACGAACATACAAAACCGTTAAAATTCATTAGGAACCAAATCAGTGCAAATTATCACTTCCCCCTCACGGGATTGGCAAAGAAATGATGAACAATCATGACAATATAGATATTGCCATGGGACAGGTGATTGAGAATGTCAATTTGTTTAACCTTTCTAGAGAGCAGTTTGGCTATGTGGATCAAATTCTTAAACATGGCATACTCTTTGACCCAATCACTTTCCTAGGAATTTGTCTTAAGGAAATAGACATGGTACACAAAGACATACACCTATATATAAAGATACAAAGGTTCATCATAATGTTATTTATCACAGGGAAAAATTGGAAACAACCTATATGTCCAACACCAAGGGAGGAAATAAGTCATGGTACATTCACATGCTATATACTCTAAATGATTACAAAATTATGATGTGGAGGAATAATTTATGAACACTGGAAGGCATGGAACAATATGTGTATTCGGATACTATGTAGGCAAAAACCTAAAAATATCTGTCTGTGAAAGTAATACTGGAAAGGCATCCCTACATATTAACTTTGAGTGGTGGGATTTTGGGTGATTTTTGTTATTGTTCTTTGTGCATTTTTACATTCTCCAAGTTTTTGTTTTTAATCGAAATACATTTGTTTTTTAAAAAAAATTCAATGAATCTTACAAAGAGATTATTCAGCATCTGTGAAAGAGGCCCGTGAATCAGGGGTTCCCTCAGCGAAGAGAGGCAGGCTCCGCAGCACCTGGTCCTCACTTACCTCGGGAGAGCTCCGGTCATACTCAGAGCCTAACCTTGCTCACCTCTCTCTGCCTCTACAAATATGCCCAGGACCAGCTTTAAAAGGGGTGTGTGTGCGTGCACGCGTGTGTGCATACAAGAAAGACAGACATACACACAGACAGTGACTGAGAAACACATGTAGGTGACAGACCCAATGTGAGGAAGAAAGAGACAAACATGGCACCTCATATTCTCTTGGCTCCTCCAGCACCCGGCAGTTTGATGTTTTTATTTGCCAGCTTGGAGGCCCTCACCCTGCCAAAATGCCCTCTCCCATGAAAACACTGCAGCAAACGCAGGGCAAGAACGATCAAAGACGGAATCAAAGGGCCTGAGACAGTCCTACCTGGGAAGTGAGAGTCCGGAGCGTCTCGTTGGAAGACATCCAGCCCTGGCAGGGGCTGACCTGAGAGCAGGAAAATGCCACTTTGATTACAGAGGATCAAGAGGACACAGTTTGATTACAGCGCCCGTAATGGGGAGGGCGCCCTAGGAAAAGTCAGTGCGAGCTCACCTGGAGACAGTTCAGGAAGGAGTAGAAGTGCGCATAGGTCACGTCCTTGTTTAGCTGGCCTGGAAAACAGAGAGGTCTTGTTATGTTGCATGCACTTGGATATAGCAGACAACTGGGGACACTTGTGTGTGACCGTGTGCCCCTTGCAAAAGGGTGACACTCTCAGGGACCTGCCATGATTTTTCACTCGGCATTGCTCTTGAAGAATGCCTGTGCTTTCCTTCTGTCTGCCTAGAAATTCAGACCTGGAATTGGGGAGGGCCCCTGAAGAGTTTACTCCCATCTCAAGCTCTTGGCATGGGTGAGGGCAGGGTCTGAGGGGCTTGACCTTATCTGGACCCCAGGTAGAGGGATACAAGGGCACCACATGGACCGGAACACCACTAACAAAGGACTTGGCAGACCAGTGGCTTTCTCCTGGCAATGGTATGACATGCCAAGTTCCCATGGAGCACAGGGGGCATTCAAAGTGGTAGTTAACCAAATCCTCCTATCCAAGTTTGTGAAATGATCATATCTGACCCAATTATCCCCTCCTGAACACCTGGCAGTACATTCTGAGTGTCTGAAGGTCCCACCCTGCACTGTCCTGCAGTTTGGTGAATGAAGCCCTCCAAAGTACTTGGGTGGCCACTGGATGGGGGAGGTCAGCACATTTATCCCTCTTGACTCAGAGGGTGTCTTATTTGAGCCCTAATTAGTACTTATTTTTTGGTCCCAGTTAAAGAGGTCCATAAGAATAAAAGTGGTAAGTGCCATGTGCGAGTTCATCCAGAGCCATTCCAAACATCAGTTGTAGACCCAGAATCCGTGGGGGTTATTTCTTCTCTCTCCTCAAACATCTCCTCTCTCCTCCAGCATATCCACCCCCAGAAGCAATTTGACTTTCATGGTGTGGCTGAGACACAAAATCTAGGCTTTCCCAAATCTCAGAGGTGAAAGACTGATGTCTTATCCATTAACACTTCTCTCATGCTCGAAAAAATAAAGGAAAATAATAGGACCTATCTTGGAGCGAAGAGAAAGATTGAAGGTGATGGTTATTTTTCACTTACACCTCAAATCAGTTAGACTGAAAGCTAGATTCAATTTTCTTGTCATAGAGGCAAAATATATTATCTCTCTGTGTGGGTGAGCGAATCCCAAGACTGGAAAACCACAGGCTTATATCGCCATTAAAGGCAAAGTGACACACCAGGTCTTCTCTATTCTCCAAAGGTGTCTGCATCTTCACATTTTAGATGAATCCCAAGCCACTGGCTTCTGTCTTTGTTTTCATTTTATGGGCTCAATGTGGAGCCCTGTGCTCCCATCTTTCTCCAACATCTTCCTTTCTATCACTGATGCTTCTTTCCCTCTATTTTTTTTGGTGTGTTTTTTGTAATGTGCCTCCTTTCTGTATGTGTCCCTGACTGGCTCAGTCAGCCCAGCAGGTGCAGTGACGGACACCTCCAACCTGCACTCCCCACCCTACATCCTCCATGTGCCCGAATGACTTGGCTCTTGCCCCCTGCTGGGACTGCCCCTGAGCTGCAGCCTTCCCTCTGCCATCTTGTTTCTCTTTGGGACTGGGCCTTGTAATAAACCTTAGGTAGCTTGGTTGGGGCCCTGACACCCTGCTTGGTCCCAGTGAGTCCTCTCTCCCTGAGAGGTGGCCATTGTCTTTTTTCCTTGTCCAGTGGCTGAAGTCTCTTCAACCTGGGGGAGGTGGCACCTCATGCCTGACCAAAGGTAACACTTCTCTACCTCTCCCTCCCCACCTGCAAGCCTGGATTGCTCTGATATCTAGAGGGACTGGAGTTTGCCCTGCTTCTGGATATTGGGGACTCATCTGCTGGCCCTCCCTTGGTGGGTTAAGCCCAGCCATGGCCTTGTTCTGTCATGGCTTACTCCCCTCTTCCTGTTGTTCTACTGCCGAGGTCCCAGCACATCTTAGGATGAGAACACAAGGCGTGTGCTCCCTCTGGACCTTCTCCCAATCCCTGCCGCTTTCCCTTCTATCTCCTTGCTATTCTGGCATGGGCTCTAACTGGACCAGGTTGATACAGGGAAAACCCTCAGGTGAGTAGGGAATCTGTTGAACAGGATAAGGGCATGCTAGCTGTAGTTAAAAGATAACTGGGAAAGGTGTAATGAATTGCTTTCCCTTTTCTCGGGTATTTCTGCCTATTAGAGGGTAGAGTGACTCCAGGGCTGGTCATGTGGAAGGTTGGTTAGGAGTCCTTGTGATGGGCTTATGGCATAAAGAAGAGGAAGAGAGGAAAGTGTTCTTACATTTTTCTCCACTTATTGGAACTGTCAGTTGCTCATTTGCTCCTTCTCTTACTTTTTATCCCTGTTACTTTAAGGGTATTTTTGCATATTGAGGAGACCTGGGATAAAAACTGATCGCACCTACATGTTATACCTGCAAAGAGGCAGTGTCTGTGACTCCTTAGTTTGAAAGTGAATGTGGTGAAGAAAGCTGTTCAAGAATGCCCAGGACAGGGGCAGGAGGACTGTCCCACAGTGGCCAGGAATTATCAGGGCAGAGGAACTATCAGCGTGTGTGTGTGTGTAAGGGGTAGAGAACCAGTGGGCCGGCCAGTGGATGCCATATGCTTCCTCTGAAGATTAAAGGCTGTGTTCTACTTCAGCTGGCTAGAGTAGCAGCTTGAGTCTCAGTCATTTGTAAGTTCTTTAGGGCAGAGTCTTTGGCATGTATCTAATGCTGGGACCATAATTGAAATTTTAGGTACCATAAAAGCTTAGTACCAACAAAGATCAGACACACCTCCATGAAATACCATCTGAATGTACTAAACCTTAGTGAAACCACATTAATTCACACAAGGAGGAAGCTAGTAATAAAATATAAAGTATACTATAAGGTATTTTGAAATAGATGAGGTTTCAAATTTAAGAGGAATTGGGGCAAAATTAAATGTTGCTGTTGGTGTTTTGTGGTAGAGGCCCTTCTAGGAAGGCCTACCTGCAGACTTATTTGTAGCAGCAATCCCGAACTTTTCGACCCCAGTCTACCCTTCAGATAGTTCCCAGAATGCCTATGGCTTGTACCAGGGTCGTGGACACTCAGTAATTTCACCGTCAGGACCTATATACTATTCTCCCTGGTGGAGTTGTATTTTGTCTCTCCTTTGAGGTCAAGGACTCCGTCTTAGTACCATCTTTACTACCAAGGCACATAATAAGTATCTCAGACATATTTATACAAAAATTGCCTTCCTCGTAGACGGTGCCTGTGAGGACTCATCCCTGGTCAAGCTTTCTCAAAAGATCAGAGTAAGTAGAATCCTAACATGTGAGACTTACTTTCTGGTAATTCCTCAAAAAGACATTATATTCTTGCCAGGAATTTTGATTGCTGGTAGAGACGGTGGGGCTGGCACAGCCCTTGGCAGCCATGCACTGACTGGTAGTGACTCACAGACATGGCTAAGAGGAGAGATGCCAGGAAGGATTCATTACTTCCTGCTCCCTAGCAGGAGTGAGCTGGGAACTATTCTTGTTCTGGGCCTCCATCACCTACTGATCTGACCTGACGCTGTGGCATTGAGCCTTTTCTTTGCTGAATGGTCAGGCTGAGTTCTTACCTGTCTGTGAGGCAGCAGAGAATGTATCCCAGATCTGGGGCTTCTCCCCTGACCCCTTCTGCTCCCTGATCTCTTTTTTAATCCTTAAGCGGTGGCTAAAGTTAAATCTGAAGATCATCATCATCATGTTTCCAGGCTTGAAGACAGAAATAAATGGAAACTCCCCTTTATTTGCTTATATAACCCTTAGCACAGTGGCCTGGGAATCAGACTTGGGTGTTTGGCTATTGATTAAGATGAGATTCACCCTAACCAAGGCGGAGCAACGAAACCCTGAGGCTGGCCCAGCATTAGCCTTCTTCACTGCTGGTTCATGTTTGGTGGGAAGGAAGATCCAAAGATTCGAATGAGAGTGGGAGCAGAACAGAGACAACATGAGGGCAGGAGCCCTCTCTTCAAGCCTCTCATCTTAAGTGAGTTATGAGACTGACACTGCCAAAGGAGGAACGAGGATGCTGGGCAAATCCTGCCTACTTCCCTAGTCTGTCTAGGAAGAACCCTGGTGCTTTGTTGAGGAATTTATAATTTATTTCCCATGGCAACCAGGCAGCAGGGATAATTTAGGATGTGAATAATAACTTAAAAACATTAAACAAATTTTACATGGTTTCAACTTTCTCCCTAATTGGATTTTTTGTTTCAAAGCTAGGGTTGTTTACATAGAACAAACTTGTTCCCCCTTTTCTTTCTCCCCCTTTTGTGCCATGAAATGCTAGTGCATGATTAGTGGCTGCAGAGAGGCCATTTGAGGACAAGGCTAAGCCTAGAGCAGGTTTCTCAACCTTGGCACTATTGACAGTCTTGGTTGTGGGGGGCTGGCCTGTGCACTGTAGGATGTTTAGGAACACCCCTGGATTCTATCCCCTACATGCTAGTAGCCCCTGCCTCCAGTTGTGATAATGGGTGGGGCAGGGGAGGGGGTGGGTGGGTTAACCCTGGATGAGAATCTCTGGCCTAGAGAATCCATGGAAGTGATTGATGAGTCCCCCAATCACCTTTTTCCTTCCCTTGCTCCCTTCCAAATTGCATGGAGTCATTATTACATCCTGGGGCTGAGTCAAGTGAATTGTGTGGAGTATCTGAGAGAATTTGTGGAGGCAGTCTAACTGGAGTTCATGGAAAGAGAGTGGGATTGGAATTCACAAAACCTGAAGTCAAGTCCCTATTAGTATGACAGAATAAATTGGAAGCATATCTCCCCTGCCTCCAACTTGCCTTCCCCAAGCATTTCTTCCCACAGGAGAAATCTGGGAATCTGAAAACATCTGTAGGGGGAACTGAAATTTTCATCCCCGGTGGGATAGGTCAAAGAGACATTCTCAGTCCAAGTGGTTGTCCTTCATGTGTCCAAGGCGGCCCAGAACGGAGTCAAGTTCTCCTCAGCATGATCATGTTATCGTTTCTAAGGGAAACACGTCCAACCCGTGTGAACAGGAGGAATATGCTTTTCCTCGTGCGAGGCTGGACAAGGTTTTGCTTGGAGAAGAATAACATGTGTGGCACACTTGGCAACTGAAGAGGAAAATGAATTCAGTTTCATTGGTGGGGAGTCTGGAATGTGGATATTTACAATTGTCCCCTCACTGGAGGGAGTAGTGCCCTTTGATAACTGGTTAAAGGGACCCTAATCTGTTCTTGTGTGGGGAGAGGTGGAACTTCCTGAGGGAGGAGTTAGGGAGGTTGGCTGAAACAGGGACTGCCTGGGGAGGACAAGAGAGGATTGGGAAGCTACAGAGAAGTTATCTATGCAGGCGAAAGCTCTCCGCCCCGCCCCCTAAGGAGCGTACTGAGGAGGAAGTTTTGGGTCTTCCCCCTTCGAACTGCTTGGACCTCCAGCACTCTTGACCTTGGGTTGGTCTAAGGAGGTGGCTATGACAATATGGGGGAAGGGGCAGCCCCTTTCCATGAGAGACTGGCACACGTGCTGTCAATGTGGGGCTGAGGGGAGGGCACTCAGGCCTCTCCTTGTAGATGTCTGTGAGGGAGGACTGAGGACAGCACGCCCTACTTCCTTTCCCTGCTTAATTTTCTCTAGTAACACATCATCCTCTGATGTACTTTTGGAGTCTTTCTCCCACTGGAATATGAGCCTACGATGGCAGGAATTTTTGACTGTTGTGTTCATGGATGGTTACCCAGTGCCTAGAACAGTGCCTGGAACATAATAAATATTTTTTGAAAGGACATTCTCCCCTGAAACACAGAAAGAGAGCCTTGCTACACTCAGCTTACATGTACAACAAGCTACGCAACATTTGACAAGCTACCTAACCTCTCCAAGCCTTTGTTTTTTCTTCCATAAAATGGAATTAATGCAAACATCTATCTCAGAGGATTGTTTCTAGGATTAGCATGGTAGCCCTTCCTAATGTGAGTTACTACTACTTTTACAATGTTTGTAAGGCATCTGGAATGCCAGAGATGCTATTAGAAGTTCCGAAGAACTTTAAAGCATTTCAGAGCCGAGCGCTCCAGGAGAATGTAGAAGCAGGGAGCAAGCCCGCCTTAGGACCATGTTCTATAGAATTCTAACCGGCCACCAGGGTCTACAGAATTCATTAGGATTCTGGCCACCAGAGGGCACTCACCACTGAGGGTTGGAGAAATCCTTTGCTTTGACTCAGGGCTTTCTGTCTCTCGTTCGGGCTTCATTGGCTTATTCTAGATTTCACCACTTAAAGGAGTTTCCCGACAAACTCTTACCTTTCAATTTGCCCTAATTCTTCATTAAATACTTCTGCCCTTTCTGACTTTGAATCTGGTTCTGCCCAACTTTGGATGCTGACCTTTAGATCTTGTACTTGGGTGCTCTTCCCTTCATCACTTCTGACATGCGTACTGTGGTGGCATTTTAGGTATATTCCTATACAATTTGATCTACATAAATGTAGACTGTGAATATATTAACATCGTTAAACAGTAAAAGTATCTTCAAACTGATACCGAGAGGATGATATTTGTTGTGCAAATTATCCCAGAGAAAGGTTCCATCTGGTAAGCCGTATAAAATAACATGGCTGCCATTGGGCAGGTGAGAATTTAGATACTTCAGAGTCTGCATGACCTTGGAGTACAATTTCTCGGGAGTGGTCATTTTTGGAACTGAGTCACTTTTCCTGTTGGTAAAAGAAACAGAAAATATATTAGTAGATTATAAGGATAGATGCATGCAAATACAAGATTACCAACGCCCCCCCCCCCCCCCCCCCCACACACACACAATGTAGTGGTTATTGCTGCTATTTGCAAAATACTTCTGGCTTCCTGATTCCCTTGTGGTTGGGTGGGCCATATGACTGGTCTGGCCTATGAGTTGTAAGCAGAAGTGAGATGTGTCGTGTTTAGTGGTATGAGAGCTTCTACAATACTGTTTTTCTTTGCCATGGGTCTGGGTAATGTTCTAGACAGCAGCTGCTTCACCAGTCTGAGTCCTGGAACAGAGCCCCATGGTGATCTCTGATCAACAGTGTAGTGTGAGTAAATGTTTGTTGCTTTATGCTACTAAGATTTTCGGAGATGTTTGTTCCTGCAGCATAACCTCATCTATCCTAACTGATAAACGCAGTTAATGGAATCAAAGAAATCTGGTATTGTTTACTATTTGACATTTTGAGGTCTGCAACTTTCTTTTTAAAACTTTTCGGATATACCACAGTTAGGAAAACAGAATTTCAATGAGAAATGAAGTGACACTATGTATCCACACTATATCCTTCCTTTCTACTCTGAATTTGAACTTTCATGAATTTCTTGATAGCCTGCTATTCCAGGTTAGACCCCTGCAATGATATCTGCCCATAGGCAATTGCAATTTGCATCACTGCCTTTCTCTACAGTAGTGCTTGTGCTCTATAGAGGATATTTGAAATTTTAAATTGTATTTTTCTCTTCTTGTTTCATAAAAATTAGTGAACAGGAAAAGAAAGTGGTGAAAGTAGTTATAAGAGTGTAGGGCTAAAATCAAAGAATTTAAGACAAAGATAGAAATCATAAGTGAACTGAAAGTAGCAAATCTTTAGCTTCAATCAGACATTGATTGCATTTAAGCTGGTTGACTTATTTTCATTTAGTTTGAAAAAGAACAAAAGTGAGAAATGCACAAAATACTAAAAATACATTATTGAAAGTTTCATTTAAATCAATCTTTCTTTTTCTTCCTTCCTTCCTTCCTTTCTTCCACCCTCCCTTCCTCCTTCCCTCCCTTCCTTCTTGTTATGTTTAAAAGTCAAGGTGTAAATGGGGATGCCAGAATATTTTTTGAATTTAATGTATAAGTCTATTATTGCTCATTTTCTGCACAGTTAACTTTTGTACACATTTTCAGGAACACATCAAGTTTGAATTAATATACTAACTTGCATTAACCTGGGAGTAGAATATAGAATTCTCTAAGATTTTCCTCTACTCTTTAGGTTTTAAACTGCCTGTTGTTAACCTAAGCAGAATAATGCTATAAGTTGTTTTCTATTTTGAGTCCTTAAAACTCCATATTTGCCTAATGATCCTGTAGTGGGTTGAATAGTGTCCTCAGAATGTGACCTTATTTGGAAATAGGGTCTTTGCAGATGTAATCAGCTAAGTTAAGATGAGGTCATATTGGATTAAGGTGGGCCTAAATTTGATGACTCCTGTCATTATAAGAAGAGGAAAGGCACAGACACACTCACAGGGAAGAAGGCCATATGAAGCTGGAAGCAGAGATTGGAGTTATGCAGCTACAAGCCAGGGAATTCTGAGGCTTGCTGGGAGCCATCAGAAGAACGAAAAGACAAGGAAAGATTTTCCCCTAGACCCTTCAGAGGGAGCATGGCCTGCTGAAATCTTGATTTTGGACTTCTAGCCTCCAGAACTGTGAGAGAATAAATTTCTGTAGTTTGAAGTCACCCAGTTTGTGGTACTTCGTTACAGTAGCCCTAGGGAACTTAATACGGATTCCAAAACAGAAAAGTAAGTCCATCGCTCACAGGCTGGCCCCAGGCATGCGTGACACGGGAAGAGGGGACAGAAGGGAGCCCCCCGGGGTAGCTGCTATTCTCACTATTAAGAGAGCTCCTAAATGGACATTGGCACTGTCATGTTGGAGAGAATTTTAAAAAATGTATCAAAATTAGAAGTTGGCTTAACTTTTGACCTTGAAATTGCACTTTCAGGAAGTTGTCCTATTGTAACATTTCGACAAATGTGCAAAAATATACATACAAGTATTGCCACATTGCTTGGAATAGTGTAAAATTGGAAAAAGCTAAAAAGGCTGGCTACATAAACTGTAGTCCATCCACATAGTAGAATGCTACACAGCCATCAAAAAGAATGAAGTAACTAGATAGAGGTGATGGTTGCACGGCATTCTGAATGTGCTAAATGCCACTGAACTGTTCACTTTAAAATCGTTAATTTTATGCTATGTGACTTTCACCTCAATAAAATAAAAACAATTAAAAAAGAATGAAATAATCTGTATATATTAGCATGGAAAAGACTGCTAAAAAGTACTGTTGACTGGCAGGAACAAATTGCAGAGCAGTAAGCATAATGGTATTTCATTTTAATGAATATTAATAAGTCTGTAAATTAGAATTTGCATAGAAGAAATCTGGATGCAAATCCATCAAACTGTCTGAACTGGTTAGCTTGAAGCAGGTGGTGGGAGTGGTAGGGAGCGATTATTGGGGGACTTTCACTTCCTAAGCCCTGTATTATTTGAACTCTTCACAACAGATGTTATTTTGTAATCAGAGAAACAATAAAAATAGAACAGATTCTTGTATCACTTTTATTCTTTCTAAAGTGAAGGGGAAAGAAACTGGACTCCATTGAAGTTTTAATGAGACAGGCAGAAAACATTGTAATTTTATGTCATTTCCCCTCCATCTATTTCACTTAGTCAAATAAAATCACTTCCCAAATAGCTGCTACCCAGTAGGTGACAGGGTGGCTAAGGGTGTATGGATCACGTGGCCCAAAGTGTGACAAGCAATGTGTACCCACACAGAGGAAACGGTGGGGCAAGTTGGATGGCAGGGCAGCCAGTAGGCTGTTAGTTGTGGTTGGTGTATATGCTTCTACATTGTGTAATGAGTTGCTTGGACATTCCTAAAAAAGAAAAAAGAAAGAAAGAAAAAACAAAGAAAGTAAAAAGATGTCCTATTTTACAAAACCCCAGCACACAGAACAGAATACTAGACTCACGTTTTTTGTGACCTTGGGAAGAAATATACTACTTTTATCATGAATCAAAATCTCCCTAACTTGTATAAAAAGCACTCACAAAGATTTAAGAATACCTTACCTATTAGGGGCAAAAGTCTGGGTAGGGGCTTTGGCTTGACTTGCATATGCACAGAAGCACTAGAAGGATCCTAGATTGTAAAGGCGATTCAGGCTGCCTTATGGGTTTATTCAGATCAGGAGAACCCACCCAGAGTAACCAGCTTTTATATTTACTGTGTGTTTGGAGTACGACAGCAGGGGTGAAGCCAAAGTAGGTTGGGTGTCTATATCCTGTCGTCATCTGTCATGGGTAAAGCTGGCACACACTGCCTGTTAACTTTTGCTTGGCATCTTGTTTTTTTACCTCCTACTGATACATTAGCATTTTGGCACAAAGCAATTACGCTGAGCTAAGGCTCTCCAACCACTTAAAGGCAAGATGAGTTAAGATGGAGCGAAGTCTCCCAAACTCCCTATTTAATGATTATTTTTTGGTTAGAGACGCCACCCTGAGGATATCAAAGAATTGGAGCTAATTCATACTTATGAAAATGCACCCTGCAAATTAAGCAAAGCATAAAGAAAATGCCTAACTGCAAAGTGAAATCAAAATGGAAGACTTGAAGTGGCTAATGGAATGTTCTCCAGTCAGCTTTGCTCTATTGTGGACAGCGACATAATTTACACATAATTTACACATTGTAGTCAGTTAAATCCTTTAATGTGCATAGCGAAATTAACAAATTCTTAGTTCAGGCAAGAGAAAAAGGCTCTAAGTGACAGTTGGTAGGTCACCCCTTCTGGGTGCCGTAGAAGATGTCTTTGGACTCTGACTCTGGAAAATTCTCAAAGCGATTTTGCTCTGTGTATTCTTTCTCTTCTGATGGTTTTTGAGGGGACTCAGTACTAGTATTTTGGAGACCAAAGAGTCCCAGTGGTTTGGGAAACATCTCCTAGGCCTTGCCTTCTCTGATGTTACTCAAAGGCTGAATGGGCTGAGTTGAAAGTGCCTAACCCTTTTCAGTCCAGAGGTCAGGTTGACTTTGCCTTTCATCCCAGGTGTGCCTGCCCACTCTAGTGTCCTACATCCCTCCTCACATATGGAGGAGCTCACGCCCGTCGCTCAGAAGGAGAGATGAGGGGTTGGGGATACCAAGCTTACAGAGGAGAAATCTGAGAACCAGCCTGGAGGACATGATGCTTACTCAAGGGAAAATAATGAGAGAGAATTTGGTGCCCACCGCTGCGCTCTCACACACGTCAGGAACACAGGGCCGAGTCCAGAACAGATGAAGAGCCTCGCCCCTTGGGTGGCTCAAAGCCTGTCCTTGTCCTAATGAATTGTGTCTGATCATGCAAAATAAGCCTCATGACTTGGGTGCAGGGCTGGCCGTGATCATTTTATTACCGTGGCAGGTATTCCAGCCAGATTTCATCGAGTTGATGCCAGAGAGATGTATGCCCTCTCAAGGAAGAATGTAAACAGCCTCTGTGGGAAACGTTTTCCAGAACCAGAACTAAAGGCTGGGGACTTGTCATGACTGAGTGCTCAGATCTCCCTCACAGCTGGCATTTGAATTCTTGGAACATCCAGGCAATAGAGTTAGCCCTTTACTTCAGGCCTCTCACCCAATTCCCTTGAAGAGGCATCTTGACACAGACTGGGAATAGGGTGGGGACTCACTGGGCCCACATTGCCCCATGCATAGACATCCTGGGTCCCCTAAAAGTGGATGTGGCCTGGAACATGCTGACTGCTTGGGAAACTCCTTATCCTTCGCTTGGCCACCCATGCCTCAACTGAGGAGCTGGGAGAGAGAATTCCTCTGAGCAGCAGGAGTTCTGTCCATTCCCTTCCCTGCTGGTTTTTCTACTGTTTGATTTTATAGAATGGATTATTTTCCCTCAGTCCAGGCTCCATGGGGCCTGTGACCCGTCAGCAGCTTGGCTGGCTTCCTCTCAATGCAGTAATGATCAGCTGCCTGGGTGACATCCAAAGCACTGGCATTGCAGAAAAAATTCCTTGGGGGCCGGGGACACAGACAACATCCATGGGGTGGTCCTGGCTCTCTCCATTAGGTGAAAAATGCAAAATTTATAATTTATAGATCCACTATAAAAAAATGGAACCATGGCAATTTATGTGGCTAGTGCTAGATGCTTTTATAATTCTATCACATTTCCAGCAATTACAATGTGCTTTTCAGGGCTGTCATGTTGGGATTTTGGGGAAATATTGTCATTGCCCTTTATGATTTGAGGCTCCTAAGAACACTCCCATTTCCACTCCTGCTACCCAAGTTTCTGCTGTGGTAGCCCACTCACATTTGCCCTGATTCCAGGAAATTCTCTCCTTCTGTATCACTCACATTCCATAGCTTTCGAGGACATGATAGGAAAGGCCCAAGGAAGCAGCGTCGGCTTAGGCCAAATTGAGTCAAGCTACAATAAGAAGGCTAGATTTGTCTATATTACCTTTCTTCTTGAATTCTGGACATTAAAATCTATCTTCCAATCATGACCTTCATATAGTTAGCAAGTATTTATTGAGTAACTGCATGAGTTTAGAGAACAAAAAAAGAAGCACATGGCAGCATTATTTAAGCGGAGCTAGCATCATCGTAAGAAAAGAAAAGAAAAAAGTCAAGCAAATACCCCAAAACTTCTTCCAGGATGGACTTATTATGCAACTCACTGCTGGCTTGAGCTTTTTATGAAATCACTTTGCTCATTTTGGGTTATCTACTCCACCTTGACGTCCTGGCAGATGGGGAGGTAGAATTGCCATCTGTCTTTATTTTTCTAACCTCTCCACAGGACATCGCAGAGAGGGCACTGCAGGGACATCCCACACTGCCAACTCCATTCTTTCACCCAAGTGCTACCTGCTTCTCTGCCCAGATCCCCGGTGCGGGGTGAGGCTGGCACAGGTCTCTGGCTGATGTCTGCCTGCCCTTTGGCTCTTTGGAAAAGGAAAAACAGGACTGGGCTGTAGGGGCCTCTGGATAATCAGGTTCTTCTGGGAAAGTGCAGTTTCAGGGATTCTGGTTCTTGCAGTCAAAGCCTCTTTCTGCAGGTGTCTTTACTCAGTATAACCAGTTTGCTGTCTGCCTTTCCAGGGGAACATGATCCAGAGGCTGGAAGGGCACTGGCTGATCTGACCATAGGTTTGTTTTGTTTTGTGATAGGCTGGGGCCCAAAGCTCAATGCTTCTCCTTCTATAAACTCCTTGAGGTCAGGGACTATGGCCTCTTTGTCATTGTATCCCAGAGCCTGGCACAGCATTTAGTACATCACAGGCAGTCAATACATACTTTTCAAAAGTGAATGAGTAAGAGAAAGCAAATAAAAGAAGCATGGACTGTAGAAAGAGCACAGAATTTACTCAGAGAATCTGGCTTGGCTTTCAGCTTTGCTGTTCAATAGCAGTATAAACAAATTCCTTATCCTGGCCAAACCCCAGTCTCCTCACCTGTAAAATGGGGACAATCCTACTTGCCTCTTAGGGCTGCTGTGGGGAGGAGATGATATAGAGAGTGTGTGGCTCTTGGCTCATGGAAAGTTTTGGAGTGTTTGCTACTTACTGGAGAGTTCCAGGGGCTCACCACAGAGGCTGGGACTTGAGCCTCCAGCATGTAGCCCTGACAGACTTGGGGACCTGGGGAGAGCAGTATACCAGCCTAGGGGGTGCCAAGGCAGGGCCTGGGACATCAGCATCTCTGAGTCATGGCGTGGTCACTTCTGCCCTGAACTCACTTCACTGATTAGGTCTACACCTCCTTCACCATAAGAGTTCTAGGACTCTCACAGGGGTGTCTGTGAGGGAAAAAAACAGTTTGATAATACTGAACTGTGCTTTTAGTACAGGCTTGGAGGGCTTGGTGAGTGAAATATGGGAAGGCAAAGGGTGGCCAGAGAGCAGGACAGCCTATTTCTAGTACCACTTGGGCTTGGGTTCAACTGTGCCATTAATCAATTAATTGGGCAAGTCATGTGACCTCTCTTGGCTTTACTTTTCTGTTTTCTAGTTGGTGGGTGGATGGCTACTGGGGAGTTGTTCTAGATCCGATCTCACCTTTTTTTTCTTTTTGGCCATGATCACAGGACAGATGGCATTCACATGTGCAGCATATTCTTAGGGGTACACACAGATTTAGAGAAACCTTCCAAAATGTTGTGGCAGAACTAAGGCATTCCACACTTTGAAATCACTACTGATATTAGCAGTTTAGCCAGTCCTGGTGGTCTAGTGGTTAAGATTCAGTGCTGTCACTACCCTGGTCAGTGAACCACATCACCATCATACTGTGGCGGCTGCATGTTGCTGTGATGCTGAAAGCTATGCCATTGGTATTTCAAATACTAGCAGGGTCACCCGTGGTGGACAGGTTTCAGCAAAGTTTTCAGACTAAGACAGATTAGTCTGGCTACCCACTTCTGAAAAAATTGGCTATGAAAACCCTATGAGAATAGCAGGAGAACATTGTCTGATGGAGCCCCGGAAGGTGAGAGGATGGTCCTAAAAGATCGGACAAGGTTCTGCTCTGCTGTAAACAGGATCACGAGGAGTTGAAATCGACTCAACGGCACTAACAACAAATTAGCAGTATAGCAAAACTACTTTCTTACTATGGGCCCTGGGCATAAATAGGATTGGCCATGAATTATGTGTAGGTTCTTTGCAAATACTCTAAGTCTATGCTCTCTCTACCACATGAGTAAGTCTATCAGAATATGAGTGAGGAAGCTGTTCTTATGGGGTAGCCATGATTCTGCCTTATTGTATTTAAAAAGTCATGATTCTCAATCTTGGGTTCTTGGCTGGTAATAGCATATTTCTTGTGACACAACTCAGAACAGATGATGACACACCAATTTGTTGTGAATCGGAGTAAGAATTCAGGGATTGGATATTTTTAAAAGGGTCTCTCAGCTTCACAGGCTGTTTCTGTGGATTTCACATGTGTCTAGGATTGTGAAGATAGAGAAATTCAACTCAACAGTAGGCTAATAGAATGGAGCGAAGTGGAGTGGACAAGGGGGAAACCTAGAGCCACAGAATTGCCAAAATCTTCTATCTCAATAACTCACCCATTGCAGACATCATTTCCAATCATGGCATATATGACGATGGCTGGATGGTCCAACAGTTGGTTCCTAGATAAACTGAGAAGCCATAGATGGACTCTGAATGTCAAACACTTGGAAACTCAGAGTTTTAACCAATATCACAGGCTGAGCCTGTGAAAGAATTTTTGATGACCAATCTCTTGGTTTTGTTGTTTTTCTTTCATTCCAGCATCAGCATTCCCATTTCCCTCTTTCTTCTCTATAATCTTTAACCTAGTTCCCCATTAGGGAAAGACCACATAAATGCATAGAATTGAAGAGTAGATTAAGTCTTCAGTAGGGGGACATGCTACTATCTTCTTAGCATCTTTCATAGCATTGTCATTAATAAACACTGGTGAGTTACCTGGGTTACTTATGTTCAGATTCGTAGGACATCCTGACAACTATGGGCCTGTAGTCAACTTTGAAAAATCAAAGGTTTCTGAAGATTTCCATTCTGGGCATTCAGAGCCTTGCTTCTGAATTTTAAGCCCCAAATGAGCACAAAATTGTTTTCTCGTTCATAAAGCAGGAATATGAAATAATCCTTTTTGTCTTTTTCAGGTATTTTGGCCAGATCTAGGTTTTACCCACTTGGTATGTATTTTTATGATTCTTATTTAAGGACTTATGCAAATTAATCACTTCCTATGCTCACTGGCCCAAGAGACGATAATATCCCAGTGTTTGGAGAGTGACTAACAAGCCATTGATGCTCAGTACAAGTGATTAAGGGGTAACAACAAAGAGTTTCCATAGACTATTCAAAATGAGAAACCCAATTTGAAAACAATTTCTTATATCCTTCTTCCACATACCTTTCTATAAATTTCTCCAGGTTTTGGGAAGATGCACCTGAATAATTAAATTAAGAAAATAATTAAAGTTAGTGAGTTCAATTCAACACTATCAGTATGAGAGTCTGATTGACTGAATCACGAAAGAAGCAGCATTATTGCACAGTAAGAGGCCGTCCACACCAACATGCTGATGGGAGTAACTACCGTGGAACTCTCCTTGATGGGTTTCCTGTTTACTTGGCATTATATTAACATAACCCTAAATTCTTTGGATTCACAGGTCTCAAGGTATTTCCTAAGCAGGAATGAGTAAACTTTCTAGTAAATGTGAGAGAAAGGTCTATGTCTATCACCCAAGAGAGAAACTACCCAAAAGATTAAGGAATGAGTTGAGGGATGAGAGGAACAGTAAAGAGGATTCTTTGAGAACTGCACTTCTCCCCAGAGGGCCCATTTAACGGCCTGCTGGTATTGCTGCTCACTCCTAAGGCTCCTCCTGCTGGCTGGCTCGTGCAAGTTTCAGATGGCAGAGCTGGTATATTTCAAGTCTTGTTATGACATGCACGACCATCCTCCCTCACCCCTGTTACCACCTGTAATGTATCTCTTATATGAAAATTGTATTTATTGAATACTCATTTTATTGTAAACACTGTTAAGCACTTGTATTGTATTACTAGCTCATTTAAGACACAGCACAACTATGTGAGGTAGGTACAGTATTGTTCCCATTTTATAGATGAGGAAACTGAGGCTCACTTAAGTGACTTGACCCAAGCCTCACAACTAATAATTGGGAGAACTGCAATTCAAACCCAGTCCCTTCTGTCTGCAGTGCTGAACTCTGGCTCCCCGTGTGACATTGCTGGGAGTCTGGAAAGAGTGAACCCAAGAAGGTTGACTGCTTTTTTGTCCCTTGGAGGCTGGTCTGCAGCAATAAGAGAGTGATACAAGTGCTGTGAACTCAAGGGACAAGGAAGATTCTCCTATCACTTCCAGCCTTGGAGCTTGGGGGGGCGGATGCATTTTATGATGGAGCCAGTGTCTGTTCTTACAGATCCACATGGGAAAAAGGGCAGTGCACAGCTGTGAAGGGCATGCTGGCCCATGTTCTCTTGAAGACATGTAACCATGCAGTGACTGCCTCTTTGTCACACACAACTAGATGCAAGGTGTATGGGCAGCTTCGCTGATTCAGAAATGTTAGTACGTTAAATGAATATTGCTTTACTTCCTTTTGTTATTATGATAAGATACACAACACGTAAACTTTAACATTGTAACCCTTTTTGAGTGTACAATTCAGTGGCATTAAGTCCATTCACATTATTGTGCAATCATCACCACTACCCATCTCCAGAACTTTTCCATCATCCCAAACTGAAGCCCGGTACCCATTAAAGAACAGCTCCCCACTAGCCCCTCCCTCAGCTTCTGATAACACCATTCTACTTTCTGTTTCTATGAATTTAAATATTCTAGGTACCTCTTATAGGTGGAATCATAATATTTGAGTTTTTGTGTCTGGCTTATTTCACTTAGCATAATGTTTTCAAAGTTCATCCATTTGTAGCATGTGTCAGAATTTCCTTCATTTTAAAGGCTGAATAATATTCCATTATATGTATATGCCACATGTTGTTTATCCATTCATCTGTTGATGGGCATTTGGCTTGTTTCCACTTTTCATCTATTGTAAATAATGCTCCTATGAACCCTGGTGTGCAAGTATCTATTTAGGTTCCACTTTCAATTCTTTTCGGTTTACATACACCTAAATGAAATTACTGATCAAATGATAATACTATGTTTAACTTTTTTGAGGAACTGCCATACTGTCTTTGTTCCCTTTTTGCAGTGAGGCAGGGCATTAATAAATATTCACACACATAAATTAAGTCAGTTCATCTCAGTGTGCATGCATTCATTCACACTCTCTGTTCATTTGTTGAGCACCTGCCATGTGCCTGACATATTGTAGGGAATTAACAGATGAGTTGGACATGGCCTCTGTACCTGAGGAGTAGTGTCTATGGGGGTAAACACATAACTGAGTACTGGAGAAAGGGTTAATGCAAATCCAATCCCAACACTTGAAAAGAAGAAAACTCAATGTGATTTGAGCCTATTATTTCTGCTCAGAGAAGGTGCCAGAGTTTACAACATTGAGTCCTAAATGTAGAGACTCTAAGTATTTCTGGGTGTTAGATTGCTCCCTATTGTTCTCAAGAGGGAAGAGAAGGAGGGCCACCATTGCATGCTGATATGGTATCCTCCAGTGGTGGCTCACTCATCTCATGGGCTGGGCCCTTCATTCAGTTCCAGCTCCATGACTCTCAACTTCCCATTTTCAGTAAATAACAAATCAGGAGGTGTTTAATTTTCACTTTTTGATTTTTCTCTTAATGAGAAATGAAAGCTAATGAAAGCTTAAGCCATGAGTGGGGAAAAAAATTACAGGACCATGTCAGTCCAACAATTTTCCTCTTTTTCCAGAGTGGAGCTGGGAATTCGAGGTGCAGGGCACCTACAGAACTTGAGGAAAATGAAAATGAAAACCTGTCACGGCATGTCACATAGGGAGCTCCTCCTCTGTGCTCACACCACCCACATCCCTTTCCTGCTCAGGACAAGGATGGCAGGCCAATGGCAAGCTGCTGTCGTGGATTTAAAACTAGCAGTCACAAATATCCACCCAAGGAGAGAGGAAGTCCCTGCTCTTCTTCACCCAAATGTTAAATTTTTTTCTGGGGATACTTATAATATGAGCACAGAATTTTTTAGTTCCAAAGTTGTTGCACCTTCCAAAAGTTCCATTTCCTTTTGGAAAAATCTCAGTTTTATGAGACTATGTAATTAGTTTACATAATCCTCATATCACTTTCTCTTCTTAATTCCCTTTTCCTGTTGTTCTTGCTATTGTTTTGGCAGCCCCATCAACGTTTTCTGTCTCTCTGCCTCCCAATCTCTATTGTCTTTCTCCTCCTGTATATAGATTTCTTCTCAGTTGCTCATTTTGCTGCTGCTGCCGCTACCATTACAGAAAATACTTATTGAGGCAGTTGGAACTGGAAGATGTGAGCAGGAAAGAAAGATAGCCCCTCGTCTGTGATATGTGGCAAAACAAGGTGAGCATTTGAAGAACTGGCACTGCCCTTAAGAGGGCCATGCTCTGCTCTCTATAACATAGTTTAGAGAAATGGAAAGGTTTGACCATGAAATAGAGCATTTTAACTATTTGTCAAGGTGGTCCAATGGAAAAATCTACCTGTTCCCAATTAAGGAAAAAGGAGGGTCCTTAATGGCCATCAAAGCTGAATTCTGGCTCATCTAGCCCCTTTTAAATAACGTAGAGTATATTTCAAGAAGACAAAAAAGAGTCTCATGCAATCTCAGCATTGGTTGGCCTTCCATAAATAAATTTTAGCTTACATTTCCACTGCTGGATCAGTGTTGATCACAGCAGAAACTGCTTTATGTCCTGAGCATTCAAATCAACTGGTAAGACACTTTTAATGGTCTTCTACAAGAGCTTGTAACTTTTCATCCCTGGCCCAGGGTAGGTGTTCAGTCTCAAATTCTTCATGGAAAGAGATGGGGTATATTTAAATCTAATAGGTCTTCATAAATTAATTCATTGATTCAGTAACATTTATCGAGTACTTACTATGTGCCAGGCATTGTAATAGATGCTGGGGACACATCAGTAAATAGAAAAGATATGGTCCCTGTTCTTATGAAGCTTATAGTTATTAAACAAGAAAAGAACATGAAGCGTTAGGGATTCAGAGAATCCCTGAAGAAGTGGTGTTAAGCTGAGAACAGAAAGAAAAGTAGGTGTTTCCTTTCTTGAAGTCCTAAGATAAGAACTTGTTAATTAATTAATTCCCAATAAAATACCTGACGCTTTTTATAGACTTGGAAACAAGTCTCTACTTTAAAGCCATCTTTGCTGTAACTATCTCAATAGGACAGGGGCAGATCAGGTTTTGAGTTCTGAAGCTTATATAATTTGGAGGATCCTCTTTAAGGAAAAGAACACAAAACACAACAATAAGACCTGATGTAAAGGGAAGCCAGAGTGGAGAGAGACAAGGGTCTTAATCAATTGTGGTTAGATATCTTAAGTTGGTAAACATTACAAATACATATGGTCACCAGGCAAGTGAGAGGTCCTCAAGCTTCAGCATCACTAGCTTCATAACTCTGCCTCTTGACCTTCCTTATAGGTCATGTGTAAAGTCCTGCAGCATCAGCTCTGGGTGCGACTTTCGAGAGTGTGAGATCAGGCAGCCCACTTTACAGATGAGGCCCAGAGAGGGAAAGAGACTTGTTCAAGGTCTTATAACTAGTAAGCAGCATCTCAGCTAGTAATCTGTCTCAGGTCCCAATTTAATAATAGACATTAGTAATGAGTGAAATAGATGATTTTACTTCTTATATGAGAATACGTGAATTATATTTAGTTCTTATATAAGAACTTGTGAAAGGAGTATGAGGTGCATTTTAGTTTATAAACCACAAATCCACTCAAGTAAACCATGAAATGGCTTTAAGGAATTATCTGGATCAGGATTCACAAGCTCAGACACCTGCAGGGCCTGGCAGGTGCAGTACATGAGGGAAGCTGGCTGGGCCAATTACGGATCAACTCAATCTAGAAAGAGCAGCCACTACACAGCTCTCATGGATTTGTGCTATTCAGAATGGGGGGCCAGGGTTGTCAGGTCTTCTGATCTCAAAACAGAAGTTGGAAATCTGGAAGTTTATAAAATCTCCAAATTTTTAGATGTTGGCAACTAAATCAAGGATTTTTAAAAATGTTATTTGTGCCAAATACACAAAGCTGTGGGCCATGTTTGCCCTTGACCCTGTATTGAAGCTTATTAACTTCATTGATCTTTTAAAAGATCCAGAGTTTGGTTTCACTGCTTTTCTCTATTGTTTTTCTGTTTTTATTTTATTGATTTCTATTCTTTTTATTATTTCCTTCCTTCTTCTTGCTTGGATTTATTTTGTTCTTTTTCTAGTTTTTTTTGAGGTAGGAGCTTAGAT